AACTAAGAATTGCATATGATACACACACACACACACACACACACACACACAAAGTGGGCTACATAAACTATGGTTTCACCAAATGATGGTAAAATGATTATCAATTCAACTAGTAAACTCAAGTCATCTACAGAGAGTGAGGTATTGTGCTAGAGGAACTAAGAGGAACAGTATATAGACTATGTAAATACACAGGCATACAGATATAAAGTTAAATAAAATTTAGAAAACATGGAAGCATCTATGTAGTGATTGCAACAATGCAACAGCAGATTGCATATACTGATAAAGATGAAAAACTTGTATTGGGTATTACAATGTTTACTGGGTTTGAGGCAAACCTATCACGTTGCTAAAGAAATTAAATATGCTCCTTATAACTACAAAAATTCAGTAATGTGGGAAAAATATTTGCAAATCACATATATGGTAAGGGATTAAATATCTAGAATATACAAATAACTTCTACAATTCAACAACAAAAAAGATTCCAGAATGGGCAAAGGACTTGAATAGTAACTTCTCTATATTGAAGATATATAAATGACTAATAAGCATGTGAAAGATGCTCAACACCCTAGGTTATTAAGAAAATGCAAATCAAAACCACAATGGGATATCATTTAATCTCTATCAGGATGGCTGTTATTTTTTTAAAAACTGAAAAACGAAGAAGATGGAGATGGAAAAAATGGAATGCTCATTCATTACTGGTGGGAATGTAAAAATCAAGCAGCTATTGTGGAAAACAGTTTGGTGGTTCCTCAAAGAGTTAAACAGAATTATATGATCCAGCAATCCCACTGCTAGGTATATACCTTCCAAAATTGAAAGCAACTGCACTGTATTAGTAGCTTTTGACCAAACATGGCATGACCCCAAGCCCCACTCTCTCTATTCACCCAATCTCACCCCAAGCAACTTTTTTTTGTTTCCCCAGATGAAAAAAAGGCCTCAAAGGAAATTGCCAATGTGGAAGAGGTGAAACAAAAACTGGCAGAAGCACTAAAAGGCAACAAAATTGTGAAGTTCAAAAACCAGAGCAGTGGAAAAAGAGTCTCGATCGGTTTATTGCATCAAATGAGAGTACTTTAAAGGTGACTGAAGCCAGGCTCGGTGGCTCAGCCTGTAATCCCGCGCCTTTGGGAGGCTGAGGTGAGTGGATTGCCTGAGCCCGCGGGTTCGAGACCCGCCTGGGCAGCGAGACCTCATCTCTACAATAAATCAAAAAATCAGCCGGACGTGGTAGCGCATGCCTGTAATTCCAGCTACTTGGAAGGCTGAAGTGGAAGGATCGCCGGAGCCCAGCAGGCGAGGTTGTGGTGGCCAGGAGTGGCCACCGCACTCCAGTTTGGGCGACAGAGGGAGACTCCAACTCAAAAAAAAAAAAAAAAAAAAGGTGACTGAAATTTAAACATGTAAAAATAAATACACAATTTAAAAAAAAAAACAAATTCTGTTTTTTCTAGGTCTCCCTTTGTACACCAAACGTAAAGCAGCATTATTCACAATTGTCAACAAGTGGTTGAAACAATCTAAGACTCTACCCACAGACAAATCAACAGCCAAAACGGTTCATATATACAGGGAATATATTCAACCACAAGAAAGAAATGAGGTACTGATACATGCTTCAACATAGATGAATCTTGAAAATATGATGCTAAGTGAAATAAGCAGACACAAAAGTACAGATATTGTATGATTCCACTTAGATGAGGTACAAATTCATAGAAACAAAGAAAATTAGAGGTTACTAGGGACTGGGGAGAAGGGGAATGGGAGTTGTTTAATGGTACAGAGCTTTTGTTTGGGATGATAAAAATCTTTTGGAAATGAATAGTTGTAATGGTTGCACAACATTATGAATGTAAATGCCACTGAAATGAACACTTAAAAATAGAATAGTACATTTTATGTTATATACATTTTACCATAATAAAAAAATTCCATTGTAAACCTTATCTAGAAATAAGTCAAAATTAAAGTTCAATATTTTTCCTTTTATGCTGCTTCTTATGTTATTTAATGTATAGTAGATCCAAGTAAGTTAGTGGCTCTAATCAGAACAATGGCAATATAGCATGGTTAAAAGGTCATCTAAACAGACCTGGGTTAGAATATTGGTTCTATCATTAACTAGCTTATTGCATGCTTAGAACAGGCCTTGACATTTAGAAGATCCTAAATAAACGCTGAAGTCAGCTGTTGTTATCAGTTGCTTTATTATTATATAAAAACCTCATGAAAAGGAGTAATGCATTTTATTACAGAAAAATTTTAAATGTTTAAAACATAAAATAAAAGAACATTGGAAGACAAGGATGGGAAAAGTATTTGCATTGATATGATTAAGAGTCAGCATCCCAGCTGGGCGCGGTGGCTCAAGCCTGTAATTCCAGCACTTTGGATGGTGAAGGTGAGGACTGCCTGAGCTCAGTGGCTTAAGACCACCCTGGGCAACTTGGTGACATCTCATCTCTACAATAAATCAAAAAATTAGCCTGGCGTGGTGACACATGCCTGTAGTTCTGGCTACTTGGAAGGCTGAGGCTACTTGGAAGGATTGCCTGAGCCCAGCAGGTCAAGGTTGCAGTGGACAGAGTGAGACTCCAAATCAAAAAAAAAAAAAAGTCAGCATCCTTAATACGTAGACCTCAAGTCAAAATATAAGAAAGAGCAGTACGGACAGCAGGAATGCTACTTTGGCTCACAGGATTAGCCGGGGAAGGCCTCAATGAAGAGGTCACATATGAACTAAGATATGTGAGGTGAAAAGAAGCTGGAGTGGAAAAGTCTGGGGTTAGGGCACTCTAGTGGAGACAATAGCCAAAGAAAAGGCCAGAGCATAAAAGGAACTTGGAAGATTTGGAACAGAGAGAAAGAAAACCAGTGAGTTTGGACAAGAGAACTAGGGAGACTGGAGATAGGATTAAAAAGAAGAGAGAAGCCAGATCACAAATGCCTGGTAAGAAGATGGGATGGTGACTCTACTTCAAAGGGAAGCCATTTAAGCAGGAAAGCCACATGATCTGCTTTACTATGCATAAGACCATTCTGCCCTATGTGGAGAATGGATGGAGTAGGAAAGCAGAGTGGAAGCAAGGAAAGCAGTTGGGAAGCTATTTTAATCATTTAAATTAGAGATGATCCAAATTGAGGATGCATAGAAAAAATATTCAAATGTTTCATTAACCAAAAAAAATTTAGTTAAGATTATACAATTTGCACCCCACATCTTTATAATAAATAAATTTTTTAAAAAAGATTATACAATTTGCCTTATAAAATTAACAAAGGTTAAAAGAGGACAATACATAATCCTGATGAATATATAGTTGCGTGAGGCACTAAAAAATCTCTAAAAAGCAATTTGCTATCTTATCTATCAAAAGCCTTAAGAAATTCTCAGTTTTTCACTCAGTAATCAGCAAATAGTTAAGTCTTATTATTGAATGATAACCATGACTTATGCTCAAGGATGTAACTGTAGGGCGTTATACTTGCAAAAAATTGAGGAACGATCTAAATATTCAACATTTAAGAAGTGGCTGAATTACAGCTTATAATAAAGTACTAAGCAACTTTTAAAATCATGTTCATTAATGGAGTTTAAGATATTGGAAAACGCTAACATACAACTTCACAAAATTAACAAAGAAAACAAAAGTACAGAGTTATGCTTTGTTTTCAGTTTAATAGGAGAAATGGAGATAGAAAGCCGGCAAATACTTATGCAGTGAAAGTTTAATATTCATCAACCTAGTCTAGAATCAAAACTCAATACATCTGCTCAGGAAACACATACGCTCAAGCATTAAATATTGTATCTTATAGTGTTAGTCTCATTACCCTTGGTACTAAATAGTGAAGGGAGGAAGTTTCTGTTTTGTGGTTGTCTTGGTAATTTAAGAATAAACAGGTGAGTCCAAAGCCTAATTGTCACTTCATATCCCCAGTGACTAACACGGTATGTGGCACAAAACAGGAACTCCATATATATTTTTGAGTGACTACCACCAAAAATAAACCTTTCCGTTTCAATTCAGCACCAAAGAAATGTAAAACCTCAAAACGAAAGAGGCACCTAAAAAGTAATAGTGCTGATAACTGATAATATTTGAAGTGGTTACAATGTATAGGGCACTAATAAGCACTTTACAGGCCATATCCTTAATCCTCATAATAATCATTCTCAAAGTACTACATTTCACATTAGAACCAGGAAACACGTTCAAAAATGTTAAGGAACTAGCCCGACGTCACGCTGCAACAATGCCCAAAGTCAAGTTTGAACTCAAATATGGTAGAACTACAGAAGACATGTTTCCTTCAAGGATCAGACTTTCAAGTTCTCCTCTGTGCTTCCTCTACAGTCCTACTTAATATTTGCTAATTTCCACCTTGAACTGGAGTTACCCCTCTCAAGAGCCTCCTCTCACGGGCCGAGGCCCGCTCAGCCCCCGCTCCTCCCCCGCTGCAACGTCCTCCAGGGTGAGGGACCGAGTCCCCAGGCTTCCAGCTGACCGCACACGTAGAATGGGGACTTGCCACCAGGCAGGGGGGCTCGCCCCACCTCCTCACTTTGCCGATACTATTTTACTTTGATTTACAGCCTCTCGAATCCCGACTCACAGACTGAGCTTTTGGAGGCGCCGTGCCCAGACCCTCGGGCGAGGCTCGGCGCCGGGATGGGGGGAGTCTCCGCCGGGAGGGGCGCACGGGGCGGCGCGCTGGGGCGGTTTCCAGGACAACCGAGC